AGGATCTTTACAAAAGCTACTGTGAGCTGGGTATGATTTTTTCTTAATACTAATGAAGATCGAAAAATGATAATGCAAACATGATTTTTTAAAAAGATCTTGATAAAAGCTACTGTGAACCAAGTATGATTTTTTCTTAATACTAATGAAGATTAAAAAATGATAATACAAATGAGATTCTTGAAAAGGATCTTTACAAAAGCTACTGTGAGCTGAGTATGATTTTTTCTTGATACTAATGAAGATAAAAATGATGATGCAAATATGATTCTTTAAAAAGGATCTTTCTAAAATCTACTGTGAACTGGGTATAAATTTTTCTTGATACCAATGAAGATCAAAAAAATGAAATGTGATTCTCTAATAAAGAATTTCATAAACGATACTTTGAACCATATACGTGTTTTAATATAAAAAGAGTTAAAAATCAATTTACGTAGAAAATTATCCGAAAAGTGAATTAAGGGTATTATAATTGTCTTCGTAGATGATAGAAAGGGTTGATCGATATTCATTAATACGGAAATCATCCCATCGGAACGATAACAAAAGTATAAAAATAAACGCACCGAATGAAGTTTCTAATTGCATATGAATAAATTGCGCGGCCTGTTTCTTAAGGAAAATTGGAGAACGCTTTGCCGGCGGATCCCCAGCGAACGCATATGGCGGACTACATTTTTTATCATTCCGTACCAACGGAAATTGCGTTGGCATTAATTTTTCCATGAATACGAAATAAACGTGCGGGCAAAGTGACTGCATTATATTTATCCTAACAATTTCCAGTGAATCAAAGAGGAACGGGACGGGTACACAACGGGAACGAATATTAATACTGTCGCTCGAAGGGCTCGCTTTGAACAATTTCCGGCGGCTACTGATTGGCAACCCAGCCATTTCGGCCAGACTTCGAGGAGGAAGTTATTTATTATGCGGCAGGAAATTTATCTTCTTTTGATCATAAAGAACGCCGCTATTATTCATTCGTCCGGAATGAAATATGCGTTTAATGCCACGTCATCGGGAAGATGAAAGATCCACCATGTTTCAAGAAAATGTTCCGCTGTTTTTTCCTTTTCTGCGAACGGCGATGGCTACTCAATTCGCGAGAAAGGGGTTGGAAATGTTTCGACAATCGTTACGGCTGTAAATATATCTGTAAATTTTAATCGATCGAATTAAATGGAAGTTGATGAAACATTCGCCGTTTGATTCAATACAAATTATGAACATTGAAATTCAATAGATAAACATTAGAAATAAATTAGTTCCAACCCTTAATTTATGTAAGATTTTCCTTGATGTTACTTGATAAGACTATTATCAATATTTCAAGAGAAAATAATAAATATTTATAATGAAAGATATTGTCGAGTGCAAAGGTTTAATATTATGAATAGAAATTTATTGTTCTGAGAGTGAATTTTGTGAATGTAGATGATTTATAAGGGTATGTTGATTTTGTTAAAATATAATTTATCATCAAAGAAATCAAGTTCATCAAGAGATATTCTCCATACAAGTATTAGATCGTTCCGAAAATTTGCTCAGATTCACGGGAACCATTTCAACAGAAATTCAGTTTCCATTAGTTTCACTTTAAATAGATCCTAATCCTCGGGAGCTAACTTTACGAGTTAGCTGTATCTTGACCAGCATACTGTATAGTTACACTGTCAGCTCCAACATTTAACTATCCCTATAACCACCTGGCTATAAGACGACTCGCCAAACGCTAATAAATTAATTGAAAATAAAATATTATATATAAAAGCATCAAAATTTTCCATTCTACTTTAAGCGGAAAGTTAATTTGAACGTAATACATGGAAGATAGCAAAATAGTTTTTTGCTTTGATCCGTGGACAGTGAACAACACTGACTCTTGTTGAATTAATTTAGAAATCTGTATCACGAGTCTCACTCTTCTTTCGAAACATTAATATTTCATCTCGCCGAAATGTCGACATTCGTTCGCAAAGGGTTAACCCTTTGCACTCGAAAGCTTTCCACTTGAAATATTCAATACTTCGTAATCAGATGTAGAGAAGATTCTTTAAAATGAATTTCTCAAGAAAGCCCACATGAATTAGAGAACAAAGTTATTTCCTTTGAATATTTCACGTACCGACGCAGTGTACAAAGGTCAGTGGTAAATACCAAGGTTTATAATTTCGCTGTATTAAATCATTCGACTGGGAGTCGCCTCTCGAGTGTAAAGGGTTAATACACCAAACGAGATGAAATCCGGTAAAACACTACTCCAATTTCATTCGACAGAACATACAGGATGGTCGTATAATAAAGACGTTCCGCGGGCAGTTCGATCGAATGCCCGAGACCGGAAACGTCCATCGGCGGCGACGGCCGGCCAATCCGAACGAAACAATCGGGCCCGGCAATTTCTCCGGCCGCGCGATCATCGGCGGGGCTTGTAGCCGGCCGCGGTCACGCAATTCCGTCCTGATTAGCCGCGGCCGTTGCGCCGGCATATTTAACTAACTAATGCAGTTGCAAATTAGCTATTAGTAGGTGTTACACGCGGCGGCAGATAGGCGTGCGGTAATCAAATTAAACCGAATAGTTACTGTCCCTCCCGCGCCGTGAAACTACGTAACCCTGTTAGCTTAACTGCACAAAGTGAACGCGTCCGAATTCGCGAGGCCGTGTGTCCCATTCGAGACAACGTGTATAAACAGGATCATGCGTGGCCCGCGAACGTTCGCCGTGACCGCGGCTCACCGCACGGAATAATGAAATGTTTGATAAGGAAGCACGGTATCGCCGAGGGATTCACGTAGACGGAATTAATCGAGAGGCGTTCGTTGTTTGCCGACGAAGAAGATCGGGACAAATTTGATTTAGAATTCGGAGATACTGATTGCAGGACTGGATGTTTAACCCATTCGCTGCCAAGGACGAGTACACTCGTCCTACTTTCAATGTGTTATAACATACAGGCTAACGCGAAAAAGGATGTCGAGTCCTGATGCCTTCCCATTGCCAACGACGAGTATACTCGTCTTTGATTTTATTATTAGGACGAGTATACTCGTCTTTGATTTTATTATTAGGACGAGTATACTCGTCTTTGACTTTACTATTAGGACGAGTATACTCGTCTTTGATTTTACTATTAGGCCGAGTATACTCGTCGTTGGCAATGGGAAGACATCAGGACTCGACATCCTTTTTCGTATTAACCTGTATGTTATAACACATTGAAAGTAGGACGAGTATACTCGTCTTGGCAACGCATAACACCCTGCCAAAGACGAGTATCAAGTTTCTTATTGTAACTGTTCTTCAGCAATTTGGAAGCTCCGGTCATCGGTGACCACCGTGACAGTCAAAATGTTAACACGTAATCACTGATGACTGAACTGAGAACTATTGGAATATGCAAGATGACTGGACCAAAAATGTTTAATAGCAGATAACTTAATAATACTGTAATGTAAACATTCTAAATAATTTTGCGTACAGTTGACGAGAAATCTCGTTTTTATATAAAGACTCTTAGCTATAGAACTTTGATAATTACCGCAGCATTCAAGGAAACATTAAATTTGATTACAACTAATTGTCCATTTAAAATATATTACATAACAATATGATACCTGAGTTTTTTTTATAGATAGTGACATAAGTGGATCTCACTGAAAATCCGCATAATTTAATTTTCTGATAATCAGCCGGCACGGAATGTGTTAAGATTCTATAAGTAACAAGAGTATCGATGAAATCTGTCAAGTGCGGTAGTAAATTCGCCATGATCGGCTAACAAAATGATCGGTTAATTAGGAAATTCCAATAAAGTTTGAACGGGAAACGTCTAACGAATCATTGATCCCTGTCAAGTAGTGTATCCAACATCTCCACCGAACGATAATATTGGTCAGCCCCGATGCTTCCGCAAGTTTCAGGGGATAATCCGTTTAACGGCAGCTCACCGGTTCGAATATTCAAATATTATCCGAATCGCCGAGCAGTCAATGTTTACGCAATTACGGTTGACGCTCTGAAAATGTCGTTTGATATTGTTCGGCCCGATCCGCGACTCGTTTCGCGCGAACTTCTCCAGCCGCCGCGGAACACCTTGCGCAAACGTTTACTCATACATATGCAAATGGTAGAAAGTGCGTTCGCATCGATACAAGCTCGGCGAAGGGGACACGGCCGAGTCATTTAAGCGGGAACAAGGGTCTGATGTTACAAGGGCCGGATTGGTACACGAAATGAACGGGAAGCCCCGGCCGACGAGCCGAGGCGAGCCGAACAGGGCCGGCCCGAATATCGTAGACGGAATATTATCGGTTCATTATACCGCAACTTCGCGGAGGTCTGGCGCAGTTACAGTAAACCAAGTGTAACCGCCGTGGAACTCGATAAATATTATTAAGCTATCGGATCGCGTTCGCCGGCGAATCGATAAATATTCCTGCGGGATGAGCTTGCCGGAGGGAAAAACACAACGAATGCCTTGTAATCCCGGGGCAACTTTAATTAAACTGTTAATAACGTTACGTGTGTGGGGTACGCGAGAAGATTTTCGAAGAAAGAAATTCGAGTTATCGATCCGGTGGAAAAGTAGGAAATGTTTCATCTCGATTAGTCGGTGCTCTTTAATTCCTGGATGGAATATTTGAATTTCAGAGCAGTACGTTGAAATTGGAGTTCTTTTTAGAGTGGGACTCGTGATGAAGATTTCTAGATTTAACAAAAATAAACGTTATTCATTGTCCACGGGTCAAAGGGAAAAAACGATTTTGCTATTATCGATTATCTTCAAATGAAATTTCTTGAAGTAGGATCGAAAATTTTTTTTCTTCCAAATTGTAAGATATTACGCGAGCTCAGTAGGGAAAGTAAATACGTAAAGGGGTTAATGGAGAATTTCTTTCCAACGTTTCAGGAATGTTTTTTAGGAAGGGAAGTTCAATCACTTTCGAGGATTAAACGTGACAGTGGGAAGTGTACGGCCACAATCTACGAACCTGCGTAAGTTGTTCTGTCGCCGCCTCGGTAGCCAGCCTCGCCAGACCTTCCTCGTACCTCTCCAGGGCAGTCAGTCTGAGCAGCAAGTTTTGCAGCAGCGCCGAAACTTCCTGCCTGGCCGCAGCGTCGACCGCAGCGACCTTCTGCGTGATGGACCTGACGTGGCCCATCACCCTTTCGTCCCGGAAATCGTACGGGAATGTTTCTGTCCATTCGGCTAGCAGCTGCACCAGTCGCGGAACGAAACGCTGCAGACGTTCCTGAAACAGGTCAGTCGAAACGCGTCTTCTTCTATTTTTCTTGTTCATCCCGACGGGCTATCCTCTCGGTTATAGAAGTTACGGGAAACGAAACGTGCTTTTTATGTTTTTTTATGGAAAGGGAAACTTACAGGTTAGTTTCTAATATTATATGAAAATATTAGCTATTTGTGAAAGAAAAGCAGATGGACGTTTGAACCTGTTCGACGATGCGTAAGTAGATCAACCCTTTGAACTCTGTAGGCTCTAATATTGCACTAGGAATAATATTAGATATTTTAATGAATCTCAATGAAACTACCCTACAATTATTAGATTTTCCACATATCTAAATTTTGCAGTAAGAAGGAAAATAAAAGGTCTAAGAAATGTTATAACATTTTTCATTTTCGCTAGGGATGTTATAAAAATTAGGTGCAGTTGCTGATAGATTACAAAACCATCTGGAGTGCCAAGGGTTGATATTATTCTAAAAAAGTACAAACGAATATCTCTCTAAATTAGAATCGCAACCTCATCAATTCTGAAAAGGTATCAACTTCGATATTCCAACCCCTATCAAAACGCCAATTGCAACAAACAATACAAACCGCACAAATCAAAACCGTCACTCTCCGAGATCCCGCATGAAAATTTTGCCCAACGAACACCAACCGAAACCGACGAACAGCGAAAACAAAAACATTCAACCAGTCAACTGTATTCGACGAGTACACTAATTCTTTCAGCAATGAATTCTTTATTTTCCCACATAAACATGTAATTCCTCTTTGTTTCGCTTTGATCTTCCATTAAAATATACTGTACGCGCACAGAGTGTATCGTTCGACGAGTACACTCTCCATTTTTAATTTCATTGCGCGCAGAACCGGAGGTTTTTCCAACTAAATTCCACAGTTAACTGGTTAAAACGAAAAGTGACACTAGCCATTCAACCGTCATCGCGGTAACAAACGAGCTGTCCGTTCCCTTGCCGAAAAACAGCGAAGAAGGGAAGCAGGGGAAAAGGTTAGGGC